TAATACTTTCTGGAATTTGGCTAGTAGTCCTTGTATTTGCATGTTTTTATGGTTGTGAGAACATGGTGATGGCGATGGTGCTGTTGAAATGCATGAGTGCTCTTTTTTTTTTATTTGCTCATGTGTTTTGTTTGGTTACTCAGCATGCTTTGCTTGATCATCCATCATTGAGGGAATAATACAAAGTAGAAACTAACATTAATATTCTTAAGGTTTCTATTTCTTTTGGGTGCTGTTGAAATGCGTGAGTACTCTTTTTTTGATTTGCTCATGTGTTTTGTTTGGTTACTCGCATGCTTTGCTTGATCATTCATCATTGATGCAATAGTACAGAGTACAAACTATGATAATTTTTTAGGTTTCTATTCCTTTTGCCTTGATATATTTACAACTTCTTTCCGATTACACATGCTATATGTTATGATGAAAGCTATAGCATATAAGCATCTTTTTATTCAATGTATGAATGAGAATTAGCCTTTTTGGCTCTCTGGGTGTAGTTCTTTGTGAATCATAGTTATTTTTCTGAAGACTAACAGAGATAGGAAACATTATAGAACAATTATCTATAATTTATTATAAAAACTTGGTCAAATATGCTCTTCGTTAGCTGGAAGCTTATCAAGTCACCTATGAATCTGTTGCAGGCAATTTGCTCAGCGATCGCGGGTCCGGAAGCTCCAATACATAGCTGAACTTGAAAGAAATGTGCAAGCTTTACAGGCAAGTGTTAAATCTTCTCGACTAAATCTAGTTGGACTTGATGCACTGTTTTTTGTTTACATAATTTGTCTTGTGTGTAATTGCAGGCAGAGGGTTCTGAAGTTTCTGCTGAACTCGAATTCATCAACCAGCAAAATCTCATTCTGAGCATGGAGAACAAAGCACTGAAGCAACGTCTCGAGAGTTTATCTCAGGAGCAGCTTATCAAGTATTGTAAGTCAAAATATCCTTTGTCTTCTAGTGTTCTTATTTGTCTGCTTCCCAAAATCGTATTCATATGATGAATAAAAATCTGTGTATATTTAGAAAAGATGGGATGAGCAGCTGGTTTAGAAAATTGATGATAAATCTGTTGTTTGGTTCATCACCTGCTTTTGATTTTTCTGGCCTCTTATATTTTTATATGATGAAAAACACTCTTTCTAAAAGTTTTCTTTACTAAAAAGAATAAAATCATTTGGATTTCAAATTGTCTTGACATTTTTCTCGTGCAGTGGAGCATGAAGTACTAGAAAGAGAAGTGGCAAGGCTAAGGAACTTATATCAACAGCAACAGCAGCCACATCATCATGCCCAGACAACAACTTCAGGCCATCGACGTGCAAACAGCCGAGATCTCGACCAGCAATTTTCCAACCTCTCTCTGAAAAACAAAGAAGCCAGTCGTGACTCGGTCTCTGGTCAACAGCTTCACATGTAGTGTAATAATAATAATAATAACAACTGGGAGCTTTTACTGGCAATGCCCCCTCTTGTTATTCTTGTCTTAACGAGCCTCTAAACTAACGATGAGTTGCCAGGGAGCATAAATATGGGTTGTTTCTCATTGTGTGGCTCGTGCAACCCTTTTTCCCTTTGTGTCTATTTT